TGAGATACAAGTAGGTGTTTATCCTGCCTGATGTCTGAGGAACTCTTAACAAGACACTGTCGCCAAATTTTAAAAGGTCTGGGGTGTAGTGATAGGACACACTTGCCTAGCATGCTTAAGATCCTGGGTTTAAGCCCCCCACACTTCAATAAATCAACAAGTAGCAGGACTGGTTTTATGATTTAGGGGCTCATCAAATAATGAAAATGCAAATTTTCCCTTGTTCAAAAAGTAAAGATTCCAAAAAAGTCAGTGTCAATCACCAGGCATTGGTGGTGCACACCTTTAACCCCAGCACTCAGGAGGCAGAGGCAGGAGGATCTATGTGAGTTCGAGGACAGCCTGGTCTACAGAGTTAGTTCCAAGACAGGCCCCAAAGCAATACAGAGAAACTCTGTCCCAGGGGGAAAAAAAGTCAGTGTCAATCAAGCATGGGTCCATGGATACTATGCCACCACGTAGGCCAAGAGGCCCACAACAAAGGTCCTGGCAGAAAGCCTTATTACCTTATTATGAGGGTCAAGAAAAGGCCAGTAGCAGCCAACAGTCACTCCTCAAAGATGGGCTGACCAAATACATAAAAAAGGGAAGGGGATGGGTCCATCTTTCTCTACATAGATGGAGTTACAAGACATAAGTTAGTATAGACCCTTTGGTCCATGGATATCCATCCTCATTTGCTTTGTCTGATTGATAATAGCCATGATCACACAATGAATGGTGACTACCATTATTTTCTCCTGTCTTTGGAAAGGTGTCTGATTCCAACACTGGGTGAGAAGGGTAGGAGAAGATGATCTCAGTCATCTATCTAGCTGTGTCAGAAAAACCAGTGCTCAGGAAAATGATGGAGACTGTGATGCATACCAATAATATCAAGAGAATACAGAAGGCAATTTTAAAAGGCTCCCACTGCCCAAACCCAGGCAGCTTGAGTATAAAAATAATGAGAGACACAGCTTAGTTGGTATAGTGTATGCCACATAAGCACAAGGACTTTGATCTCTAGAACTCACATCCAAAAAAATTCCTGAGCATGGTGTCATGCATTTGTGTTGTAACCACAGCAATGTGGAGGTAGAGACAAGTAGACCCGACAGCTCAATGGCCAGTCAGACTAACATAACTGGAGAGCCCCAAGTCCAAATGAATGACCTCGTGTCAAAAAGCAGGGTAGTGTCATGAAGAATGACACCCAAGGTTGACTTCTAGACTCAAAATTCTTGTGCATATACCAATGTATACACACACACACACAGAGAGAGATAATATCTTATTACCCACTTAAGTAAGGGATCAGTGAAATGTTTTATAAGGAAGTATTTTACATAGTTTCAAACTTTGGGGGAAAATACAGAAGAAAATAATGGCAATCACCATTAATTGTGTGATCATGGCTATTATCAATCAGACAAAGCAAATTGTAATGAGAGAGGCCATGCTGAGACACATAGCCAGGTCAGTCAGGAGCAACTGTTTCAGGTAGAGGGAGAATTGAGTAACATGTCACCCTAAACTTGATCCATTTGCTAAAATAGACATTGCTAAGAAATATGATGCTAGGTGTGGTGGTGCATGCCTTTAATTCCAGCACTCAGGAGGCAGAGGCAGAGGCAGAGGCAGAGGCAGGCAAATCTCTGTAAGTTCGAGGCCAGTCTTGCTTACTGAGCGAGTTCTAGGACAGCTTCCAAAGCTACACAGAAACCCTGTCTCAAAAAACCAAAAAAAAAAAAAAAAAAGACAGAAGTAGGCTTCTATGAGAGCCTTGTCTACATACTCAGTTCCAAGACAGCCAAAACTACATAGAGACCTTGTCTTAGTAAAAAGAAACAAAAAAGGTGGCATTTGAGTCAGATCTGAGGATTGGATGGCAGTGATGGTTATCTGTGAATTTCCCAGTCACTCTGGTTTTATTGTGGTTACACTTTTCCATTTCTGCAGCCGGGGAGAGACTGAAACCAGGATCCTAAGCAGGAGAGGACAGTGCTCGGCAACCCGTGTGCTTAGGTCGACAGCAGAGCATCTGTGCACCTAGCCCACTCTTGCACTGTACTTGCAGCTTCCTTTTGAGATTTGCTTTTAAAAATCTTCTCTTGTTCATTTTATAATTTCCAAGAGCAAAAACATGAAAACATGGTTTATTTACCCTTTTCTTAATATTTTGCTCAGTAATATTTAATGTTAATTAGTTTAATTTATTGATGTATTAAAGGACAGTCAGCCCCTTTATTCAATGTTGTGGCTGTGGCAAGGGGATTTTGTAGGCAGACAAGGATTTTTCTCTCTGTCAACCCACTACAGACCTCTTGTTTCCACTGCCCAGTGTTGGAATTACATGCATAGAATACCATGACTAGCAAACCTTAGATTTTAAGACACTTAATGTTTGTCATGTGGCAGACATGGTGGTAAGCAGTTTTTGTGTGTCCTAGCAACAGCATGTGAGATTAGAAGGGTCAGGCTGTAGTATTGAGCTCAACCTCTTTTGCAGGGGAGAGGGGTTCAAAACAGTGTTTCTCTGTGTAGCCTTAGATAGAGCCTATGGAGTAAGCCCTGGGGAGAACATTTGCAGTTCATTTGTCAGAGATGTCTGGATTCTCTGTTATTCGGGAGTGGAGAGAGGTGTGTGCATTTTCCAGATGCAGAAGGTAAGTTACGTGACGGTGGTGATGATGGTGTCTGTCACATCTTAGGTGGATGCACTCCAACCTCAGTAGTCTATGATTTTAAGGGTGAAGAAGGAAATAATTCAATTTTCAGAACTATGGGGAAATAGATGGGGGCCTTTTAGAAATATGGGTGTTTCCCCCCAATGTTAATGTTTCAAGTGCCTAGGAACCAAGAGCACTTGTCTCTGAGTCAAGAGGAAACAGGCAGTGAATGTTGATTGGCTGTGTGATGGAGGCAGGTCCCTTGGCCCCTCTACACCAACTTTCTCAGTAATGTATTCTAAATGGTGGCTAAGTTCCTGTCTAGTCCTCTTAGTCCACTTATGTGTAGCTTCGAGCTTAGAACAGGAGCTAGGAAAGTGTCAAAACAAGAGGCAAAGAGGCAAGGTGTTCAGGCAGCCTTGTCACATTCGCCATGGAACCGACGTCACTGCCCTCTTGTGGCTACGTCTGGGACCCACAGGAAGACTCGTGGAAATGACACTCTTCAGTAGGCTAAGATCTCAATCCCCATTCTCACTGGACAGCAGAGGGTCTTCTGATAAGGGAGTTCCTTCTACCAAGGCAAATCTTCCCAGCACCCAACCAGGATACCCCAGCCATAGCCGGAGATCAGGCTGGCTCAGCTCTGAACACGCTGCTGCTAGATAGTACTGAAACCCTTTACCCACACTGAGATAGTTGAGTTTCCAAGTGCATAGTATACACTCACTAATAAGAAATGTGATCCTTAGAACTGCCCTTCCATCATGGGATATCCTAAGTTGAGGCCAGGGCTTAGCCTGGAGCCGGAAGGCTTTTATATGTAGTGTCCGGCTTAGCACACCGGGGCTGGGACTAAAAATTTGGTATGGGGCTGAGGCTCTCACCAGAAAATAGGCCTTGCCTCCACCAGAAGGAAATGGTTGTCTTCTACCCTGAAATTTCATTTTCTTGAGGACTGCCTAGTGTAACAGTAGTCAGCAGAGGCCTCCTCCTACTCTATCCTCTCTGCTACCTGGAAACTGAAGATATGAACTCCCTGCCCTCAAAACAACAAGCTTCACAGACCTAGCTGTCCGCAACCACTGGACCCTGAACAGCAGCAGTGCAGTGCAGGTCTCTCCACCTCTGTATGGGCTGCTCCGCCTGCCATCTTTGCACCTGCTGCTCCGCCTGCCTCCCACCCCCCTGGAAAACCTCTGCTGAGGCCTAGCTTAGTCACATTTTCAGTGACTCCAGGTTGGGCTGAAGGGTTCCTGTCACAGCTCAGAGTGTTCCATGGCCTTTATGGCCCACTTAGGGTTTCAGGCAGAAATGTCTTCAGGTAGGGAATGGCAAGTGGAATAAGGAGTAGGAATGAGGTCTGTGGTCTAACGGCAGGGTTTCTGGCTACTGAGTAGTCACCAACTGAATGAACAAGGACAGAGGAGTTGCATATTCGAGACCTGTAACCACAGAGATGACATCAGACCTGGTCTCTACCTTTGTAGTTTAGCTGAGAGTAAGCATAGGTGACTGCTTGAATGGTTCATAAGGACCCTTCCAACTCTGCTATTCTAGAACCTGCCCACACATGGTGGGAACTTGCAAGGTGGCTACCTGGTCCTTGCCTCTCAGGATTCACTTCCTCCTCACATCTAATAAAGAAAGACTAGTAAGACATCATTCCCAAGGCCAGTTATAAGAGCTGTGGCTCACATTCTTCTCTGCACACTGGCTGGTCTCATTGTTATGCATGAACTACCCTGTGGAAAGGAATACAGAGAAAGGAGCTGAGATGCCCTATGGTCAAGACAGTGGTAGTTGGGGGGGGTTCCTGCCATCACCCACAAACAGGGAAAGTGGATTTCTCTTTCTCAGACTGAGATGCTTTTAGCCCTTGGCCAACACCTCCAAGCCCTGAACTACGACCTTGGCAGAGACAGTAAGCATAGGGCCCAGCAAAGCATCAGTGCCTCCTTTAGAATGGTGAGGCCAAAAGCTTTTAGTCACTACTTTTTTCTTATAAAATTTTTTTTATGTATGGCTATTTTGTCTACACATTTCTGTCACACAGGTTGGGTGCCTTGTGCCCACCAAGGCTGTCAAATCCCTGAGGTCAGGAGTTACAGACAGTTGTAAGCAAGTCTCCATGTGGGTATTAGACATTGAACCAAGGTCCTAAGCACCCAGTGCTCTTAACCACTGATCACTCTCCAGCCCTGAAGCCACTCAATTTTGAAGCCAGTTGTTACCCAGCCAGTAAAGGCCCAAGGCTAATGGAATCTGAAGAGAGTGCAGTGGGGACTGTAGTCTGCCCTGTACAATAGAATACTAGTGTAGAAGCACAACATTAAGCAACAACTCACAGGCAGTTCATGTTTCCATTTATTAGTCTAAGAATATACAAAAGTGTGACATGGCACAACAATCTCATGGAGAGAAAACAGAATACACAGGAGGTGTTGGCTTTCTTCCCCAGCCCAATGCCTAAGGAAGGCACACATGTGAGGCTTGGGTAAGTGGGCCTCCTGTCCTGGACCCAGTGTGCTGCACAGAAGAGAGACCCTTCCTCACACCAGACTTGTGGTGTGGCTCAGGAGAGCTCAGGTGACTGGCAGAACACACTCCAAACCAAGGCTGAGCTGTGCTAACTAAAACCAGCCAACAGCAGCCAGCCAACTCAAGACGGTACCTGTGGGACATCCTTGTCCCTAGCACAGTATACAGGAGGCCAGTGTAGGCTCAGATTGGAGAAAAGGGGTGGGGTGAGGAGCAGAGAGGAGACTCAAGCTGTGCATTCCAGATGCTATCTACCACCTTCCCTAAATGGGGCCAGCTCTGACCTCTGCAATCTCCCCTTGGCAAGAAAGACCAGACCGGTAGTCGCATGTGGGGTGGTGGGAATGGAGATGTTTGTTAAACGTGGCCTCTGCCTCTTGAGAATCCATGGAGCAAAGAGGATTATCTAAGTGGCTGAGTCATAACGGCTGTCCTTCCCCAGTTAACCAGGGCCAGGTGTCTGTTGTTTGGGGAACCCTAAAAGGGGTGGATAAAGAAACCATCTTGTCAGAAACCAGAAATGTCAGCTACCACCTTGAGCAGGACACACTAGAAGTGAGAGCTTAAAATACTGACTTGTCCCTTCTTAAAAAAGACCTAACATTGCAATGGTTTAACAAATTATAATTTCTTTTAAATAACCCACGGACACCCATGACGCTTCCAAATTTACAGGACAAAATGCACTTGAGAACTTGGTAGAAAAGGATTTGCAGCCGTTCCTTCCAGGAGCCGGCCCTCACGGGCTGGGTCAGTTCACCTCCAACACCTCTGTCTCTGGAAGGCCGAATTTGGTCTTGTGATTGTCAAAGAGCTTCACCAGGGCCTCCATGTACATGGCGTGGTACAGGTCGATGTCCTTTTGGGTTGGGTGCTCCAGCTTGGGGATGGTGATAGGCTCACCCACTGCAGAGAAGGACAGAAGCTCTGGTCAGTCAATGTCATTGAGTATCCCATTCCTGGGTGCCCAATGTGATATAACCCTGTGCTGTGTGCTGACCATGTGTGTTTGGGACTGTCCTTTTGTCCAGATGGCAATACTGCAGCCTGGCATTGTGGGAAAGATCCACCCAAGACTGTGGCCTCTGAGTGAGGGAGACCCAGCTCCACACTCTGCTACAGGCTTCAGTGTGAGTGCAGAACCTCACACTGAAAAAGCTTTGCTTTTGCTTTATGCTTTATTCAGGACTAACTCTTTGCCTCTAGAAGTCTCTGTTTTCTTCATCTTCCATCTGGCGTGTCTCATACATCTTTTCTACAGATTCTGCTAAGAACAGAACATGCTTGAGCAGCTGGTAAGGGTGTGGAGAGGGAAGAACATCTGTGCTTTGCTTCATGTTCAAGGCCAGCCCATGCCACAGTCCCACCAGCACTGTTATGAGCTCTCCCAGATGTGTGTATACACAGTTTCCATTGCCACTTTTAGTCCAGAGAACCAACCTCTACACTGGCCTCCTGCATTTGGCCCATTCTAACTTTTTATTTTCCCCTCTATCTAGCAGTCCCAGGGATCACTTAAATTTGTAGATAAATGTAGTTCTCATCCTTCATCAAAACAAAAATAAACAAAATAAAAAACAGAAAACTCTTCTTTTCAAAGCAGGTAAAGATGATTACAGAAAGCACAACTGGTTGAAATGTGGACCTGGGGTGCTCAGGTCTACAACACAACCCCTACACCTAAGTCTCAGGGGACATCCAGGAGACAGAAAGACTGCAAGAACCAGAGGACCATGAATTCTGCTGAGAGACTGTGTCTCCTAAAAATGACATGAAAGCTACAACCATGATACTTCAACAACATGGCTGCCTGAACAATGACAAAACCAGTAAGGCATATAAACATGGAAGGGGAACGTGGAGGTGGCACTCCCAGGCAAATAAATACAGACAACTAATGACTGCTGAGAGGAAGAATTAAGTCTTCCCCAGGGATAAGTCCCCTTCCTGGTAATCAGCACCAAGAGGTCAGCACTGAAATCATATACACACAAGCAACACTAGAATGAATGAATGAATGAATGAATGAATGAATGAATGAATGAATGAACGAACGAACGAACAGTGCTCAGAGCTCCCCTTCCAACTGTCCTGCAGCAGCTTTCCATCCTGCAATTGAAGAGGCACTGGATCAAGCTCAGTCCCTTCAGCCACCCCTGGGAGAAGTGCTGCCCTGCATGGAACACAGGCCAATGCCTATCTAAGATACTCAGGGCTGTGGCTTGTGACCTTAAACATGTGCCCACATACACACATACATGCTCAAACTCTGATAGGTGATTTTCTAAATGTTCTAACTTGTCCCACATACAAACATACAACACTACAGTTTTTTGGTTGTTTTTTTTTTTCCTTAGTTCCTACAGGTCTACACTCTAGGCCCAGCGTTGGTGGCTCATGCCTTTAATCCCAGCACTGAGGAGGCAGAGGCAGGTGGATCTCTGAGTTCAAGGACAGCCTGGTCTACAGAGCTAGTTCCAAGACAGGGTCCAAAACAATACAGAGAAACCCTGTCTCAAAAAACAAACAAACAAACCCTGCTTCTATAATTTTTGTTGAGCAGTTTTTATTTTATTTTAAGACAGGGTCTCACTATGTAGCCCTAGCTGGCCTGGAATTTTCTGTGTAGACCGACTAGCCTCAAAGTTCAGCAATTCTGTCTCTGCCTTCCACACTAGGATTAAAGTTATGCATGACCATACCTGGCTTTTCCTCCCCCCTTTCTGCTGAGCCTTCCTTCCCATCAACCAGCAGTGTAAGAGCTGTCTCCTGAATGGGCCCACTATGAAGAGTAGAGGAGCAACGTAATCCCTACAGCACCCTTGTTACAGCCGCACATCCACTGCTGCAACCTTTTCCTAACAGGTTTGTATTTATCACCGCCATGGTGCCCTGGCTCATAGCAATGGCTCCACCCTCATCACTCCCTCCAGTACCCAACTCAAGGTCTTGCGACGAGGTTCTCATCTGAGCCAGGTGACTTGCTCAGGATCCTGCTATGCTCAGGATGGCCTTCAAGCATGCAGGCTTAGAACTCACCAACAGTAGTGATAGGCTTGGAGTAGGGCACCAGCCCCCAGGTGTCAGAGGAGAAGAGGCCTCGGCCATGGAAGATGCATGGGGCAAAACCAATATACTTCTGGAACTTCTTCTGGACCCATCGGCCCCAGGAACCCTCCTCAAAGATCACCTGCTTGTATACCTCATTCTCTCCAAAGGAATAAGTGGGAACCAGATCAGCTCTGCAAGAGAGGCCCAGATTAGCCAGACCCCAATCACTGGGTTCCGTTCCTTCTGTCACCACAGAGGACCTTGTCCAGCAGGGCCTGGCTCTGCTGTTTGCCTGTCCAGCACAATTCAACTCCCCCTCAGCCTGATTCACCTCATGTCACAGCCTCAGCAGACTATCCATCCCTGTCCCTCCTATCATTGGTCTGGCCTGACTTGACAGCAGACTGTTTAGGAGCCTCTCCAATAAGCAAGCCTTCCCTGGTGCTTCAAGTGAAGCCATCTCCTTCCTGGTCTCTTGCTCCCTTTGGTCCTGTGTGTGTACGTGTGCTGGGATTAAACCCAGGGTTTTGCACTAACCAAGTATTTGCTCTGCCACTGAGTCTCATATCTTTGATAAACATTCTCATATGCTCTACATATAAGCCTGGCCTCTCAGTTACTTGCAAGTGCCCAGGGACAACAAGTCACACACATCTTTGCACCACCTCCTACCCTTGGACAAGCCAAGTCATGCAGTGTGGGCGCTTTTCACTGCCTTCCTAGGTTCTGGGCCCCACCTTCAGAGACCCATTGTTCTGGGCAGAGGAAAATACTGGAGATGTGTGTAGGCACTTACCCATGGCGCAGGGCCAGTTTCACAAAGCCTTTGCGGTTCCGCAGGGTGACTGCGTTCTTGCCAGGCATGGAACTTAGGGACTCAGCTGCACCTCCCACCACAATGATGATTGCATTGCCACTCCCATTCTTTGAAAGCAAGTAGTCTATGGTGTCTCGGTTGACAGGGCAGATGCCTGAGGTGAGGGGACACACAATCAGCATTGCTCATGGATGCATTCCCTATCCTTATATATAATCAAGGATAAAATGAAAATATCTATAGGTGGATTCCAGACCTGTTACCCTCTTAAAAGATATATGATCACACCTTCCTAAGCAATTCATTTTTTACTGATTCCTCAGTTTACTTATCTGTAAAATGGGGGGGGGATGATATGAAAGTCACGCTGATGGTGACCATGGGTAGGAGGACATAGACATTAGGCAGCACAACAGCTGGTATCTAGAAGGGTGAAAGAAGACTCCCTTGAGAAGGTGTCAGTCATGATGAAGCCTAGGACCACTCTCCTGACCCTTCACACCTGCTGCAGGCGCTCTCTACCTACACTGGACCAGTACCTCATAGGAACGGTACTTCACTTCCCTGTATTGCTATGTTCAATGGGGAGGCTCAAGCCTTGACAGTGGAGCCCAGCACAAGTATCTGAAGTGGATTCTCACCTCCAGACATCAAGTACTCCCGAAGCACAGGCATCCGGAAGTTACCAGCCAATGTCGCCAAGTAGGGCCTTATGCCTGGGAACTTTTTGCTAACTTCGGTAGCCTCTGTGCTGAAGTTACAGAAGGCACCCAGGCCCATGATGCCATGGGGATGGTATCCAAAGATATAGTTCCTGGTGGTCAGCAGGTTGTGTGTCTTCACCAGCTATAAGCAAACTTGTGTTAGAACTGGCTGGAAGGAGGACACCCAACAAGTGGGGAGGGGGGGTGGACAGGGACCTGATGTTTCATGCCCTGTTATGCTTAGGAGCCCAAAGACTGCAGTGACTTTCCAAACCTGTCCTCAGACTCTCACTATTGGAAGCACAGTGCCAGTGGCTGGCAGCAACTGGGCCGAGAGTCCCTGGTTGGGTGCTTTTCTTATTTCCCAGCCAAACACAGGCTAAACCTACTACTTCATGCTTAACCAGCCTCCTGCCTGCCTTCCTGTTTCTAGGCTCTTTACCACAGTGACTTCCCTAAAACTCACACCCAAGCTGGAATACTCAGACCTAAAGAGGGACATTCTGCCTTCACTGGGTACAGTTTGGATTCTGAGTTTGGCAAGTAGAGCAATGGCTTCAAGAATTTCCGTCTGCTCCCTGCATACTGCAGGCTCTTCAACAGCTTAGGCTGTTGCAAGTGCCCAGGGACAGAATAGGCCCACACAGCCCACTCCCACCTCTTACACCCCAGTGTGGACCAATATAAAGTTCCTGTGACAAACAACCACACTAAGCTCAGGTTCTGAGGCAGGCAGGCAGGCAGGGCAGGAAAAGACAAACATCAGCCCTCATGCCAGGCAGCCCTGTGGGAGGTGGCTGGCTGTGTGGCTATGGCATCTGATGATATGAACTATGTACTGTCAACAAAGCTGTCCTGTCCTGGGGTGCTACAGTTGATACCTGGCTTCCCAAGGACCCACCACCTGCCCTGAGGCTAAGTACCTGTAAAACCCCAAACAAAGAGGGAAACCAAGCCTGAGATACTGAGACAGCATTGCCAGGAACACATTGATCAGAAAAATATTCAGAATATCCTCCACCCTCTTTTTTTTGGAGACAGGGTTTCTATGTAGTCTTTGCTGTCCTGGAACTCTTTCTGTAGATCAAGCTGGCCTTGAACTCAGAGACCTGCCTGTCTCTGGCTCCCCAGTGCTGGAATTAAAGGTGTGTGCCACCACTGCCCAGCCAGAATTCTTAAAAACTAAAAAAAAAGGTCTGCATTTATTTTTCATGCCATTGAAATAAACCACTTGGTTCTTTTCCTACTACAATGGAAACAGGCCTTTCTTTAAAAGAGGCTGTAGCATTAGTACTGTCTTCTAGGAAACACCCTGCCTAGCTTATCAGAGCCCTCAAGTGAGGGTCTCCTCAAAGCTGCACTTCCCTACCCCCTGCCACGCCACTATGACAACACCCACTTAAATTCTAACTGGCAGACATTTTAAATGTATCCAAACTTTACCTCCTAGGATAATGCATTAATTAAAAAACCTGTCTATCCATATTTGCAACGTTTCAGAAACACAGTTCCTGAGTTGAAGAGTCTGAACATGTTTGAGGCTGCCCTGCCTTGGAGAGGGGCATTCACACCATCCCAACAGTGCTCGACCGTGCCCACTCCTGCACTGGTGCAGGCTAGACCCAATTTTCCTTTACTCCAGACATGGGAGCCTTGAAGCTGAGCCAAGGAAGCTCAATTTGGGGAAGAACAATGGTGGAGGCGTGGGAGGGATGGGACAGGGCACCTGTGCTGCTCTCAGCTCTGTGGCTGTAGCATGTGTAAATATGAGCAAGCCTCCCTTGTGTCATGCCCGGTGGGTGGGACACTTGTACTCTTTCCTCACTTTGCCTTTGTAAAGCAGGCTAATGCTATCTGGAAAACAACTCCCAGCTGTCCACCAAATAACCAGGAATGGCAGTGTGCTCAGCCAGGGCTGGGGTGGAGAGTGAGGGGACCCCAAAGGATCAGGGCACATGAACTGTGCAGGAGGGTCACCCTGAGACAGGAGGTAGGTCTGCCCACCTGGCTAGCGCTTAGTCAATCGAGCACCATACCAGTGTCCACACCAAGGCAGGCACCGAGGGAGGAGCTGGGGCAACTGGAACTGGGGGCCAAAGCACAGTGAGATTGGAGTGCCCTGAAGATGGCACGCTAAACAAGTCTAGAAAAGGAGGAGTCATTACTTCCCCTAGGAAAGTCAGAGAGAACCAATTCCACATAAGCACAAGGACACTTCAGTGTCACTCTTCCCTGGACACTGTGCTAGTGATGTCATCTCCTGGGAACCTAACTGGCTCTTTAAATAATTCCCTCCCTCTAAGGCTCTTATCTTGGAATACATGGTTCATTACATCCTTGGGGCATTGTACAGGTTAATAGCCCCTATGCAGTACCAAGAAGAATAGAGATATTTGATACAGCTTTGATCTGTTTTTATGTCACTACTCTTCCCAACTGGACAGAATGTCCACTTTGTAGGGAGGGCGAAGGTCAGTGCTGCTCACTGTTCTGTTGACATGCCTGCTGGGTGGCGTTCAGGCCAGGCTGGCTGGTAAGTGTAAGCCTGGGCAGATTCCTGGCAGGTCACTCCCATCTTGCTCCTAGGACAGGCTTATTCTATCCCTAGCCCCATGCAGGGAAAGGTACCCAGTCAGTCCCAGAGAATTGCAGCAACTTGCCTAGGCTTACAGCAGGGCACAGCAACAGTGTCTTGTGAACTTGGGGCAGTCCCTCCTTTCTGGCCCCCAGTCTACACATCTGTGAAATGACAAGAGCCTTTCCTAGTCTCCGAAGGTCTTTTTATCCCTTCAGGGAGAGGAGCCCCGGACATGGGCCACTTCTGTTATAGGAAGGAGGCTGTAGTCCAGTAGCTGCTGAGGGAGGTAGCCCTATCACTGCCAAAAGAGATGCCCTCTGGGCCAGTTAGGTAACTTTGGAAAAGGGAGCTCCAGTAAGAGAAATGGAGAGGGTGGGTAATGGGTCTAGCTGGAGATCTCTATTGTATAACCCATGGCTGCTCAGGAAAAAGGGGTGGAACAGGCAGGTCACACACAGCTCTGACGTAAAGCAACAAAGGGCAAAGGGTAGAGCCTGTCACTCAGGATGAGGCTCAGGAACCTCATAGGGCAACTCATGCCACCTGCCCTGTGCTCACCCAGCAGAACAAACAGAGAATACAGGGCTCAGTTGGGTCTTTTTTTTTTTTTTTTTTTTTTTTAAGATTTATTCATTCATTTATTTGAAGCAGAGTCTCACTATGTAACCCTGGCTAGCCTAGAACTTTGCTATGAAGACCAGGTTAGCCTTAAACATTAAAGGTATGTGCCACCTGGATGTATTTATTTTTATTTTATATGCATGGCTGTTTTTTTTACCCATATGTATGTCTATGCATCCATGTATATTCAGTGCTCTCAGAGGCTAGAAGAAGGCACTGGATCCTCTGGAACTGGAGTTAGTTATGAGCTGCCATGTAGGTGCTAGGATTTAAAAACAGGTTCTCTGGAAGAGCAGCCAGTCGTCTTAACCACTGAGCCGTCCTCTCTCCAGTCCATCACATCATTTGGGTCTTTTGAAAGGGTAGAGATCAGCTGGAGTAGAACACCTGAATGCTCAGGTCTGACCAACCACCATCAGGTCACTTGCTGGAGGAGGAGAGCTAGCTACCAGCCTGCAGGAGGCTTCCTGGAATGAGACCACAGTGGCAGAAGACACCAACACTGGGGGCAGAGAAGACAGAGCAAAGCAGACCGAGCAGCATCTCCCATTTGCAGTTGAAGCAAATCATACTTGGTAAAGCTGATAAAGCTATACAGAGAGTGAGAATACAGTAAGATTCATTAGACTGTAAGCCCAAGGCTGACTCCTCCATCACCCACGGCCAAGCAAAAAGCCCAGCATTAGACAGGCCCCCAAAACAGAAGGTCAGTAAATGGAATGGCAGAGCAAGATCTCAAACCCTGGTTCCAACAGCAGTTAGGAATCATGCATGACCTTGGCTTGTATGTCAGAAGGGCTGGCACTGATGCCATGGTCTTGCTGGACACTCTGAGCAAGGCTTTGGCCCTCTGAGGAGGGACACCTAACTGCAGAGGACAAGACAACTCTGGGAATGCCAGCAGCAGGCAGAGCTTGTGAGCAGCCTGGGGCCACTCCCACCAAACAGTGCAGTGAAGGAATGCAGGGCTACCTGACCACCTTCCCTGTGCAGCTCATCTGGATGTCTCCATGACTGACTCACAACAACAAAAGCACACCACCCTGCCTCATGCACAGGACACTTTCACACACACACTTCCTCCTTTAGGCACCCTGCCTTCTGCTGGGTGGCCCTCAGCAGCAGGGGTGTGCTAGGGCTGGGTACTGAGTGCTTTCCTGGGTACACAGGTCTATCCCCTGTGGGGAAACCTTCAAGCCCACTCACAGTCCTTTAATGTATCACAGCTAGGTTAGTTATTCCGCCTTACCACCAGCCTGCAGATCAGGCAGGACCAGCAAGAGCCAAGAAGATACCAACATTATTGCTGCTGGGAACTCAGGTCCATGCCAGAAGAGAAAACCAAAGTGAGTGCCCTTAACAGCCAAGGGCACAGAGGGGTCTTCTGAGTCCAGGAAGACAGTCCTACCCTGGATCACACTGGCCTCCATTCTCCCAGTTGGAGCACCAGTACCCCAGTGGGCTCTGCTCTGCTGACTTGAGCAGTAGCATGCCACAGTGGAGGAGCTCAGCTTCTGACTGGCCTCACCAAGCTCTCTACTCTCCAATCCCCCAGATTCCTCTTCCTGAGAGCAATATGGAAGGTGATGGATAATCTCTTTCTCCCCATCAGCTGTTTCTCAGTCTCAGGCTTATCCTCAGTTTCCCCTGCCTCCCCTGGCACCACACCTTCTAGGCATCCCACCCTCTAAGTACATCACTTCTTGGGTCACCTCCTTTTAAGTTATATCCTCAATCCTCACTTCTGTGTGGGATGCACCACCATAAAACATACGGCAATGCCAGGTTTGTTTTTGTTTTAACTATGTTTACATCACACAGACCCTTGGTGTAGAATCATCTTTTAGGTAGAAACCAATCCTGATAAACAAGTCTTGCTTCCCTCGAAGAATTAAACAAGAAGCCAGTGATTATTGTGTTTCTCTCACTGCCATGTCCAACTACAGCGACTCTGCTTCCCTTGTGGCTGGAAATAGTAGTGCTTCCTTTAAAACTCTTGATTTCACTTTACCTGGTCTATATGACAAAGTTGGAGCCAATAGAGCATGGACAGATGCTCGGTGTGGGGAGAGCCCAGACAGCTCAACTCAACACTGTCACTGTTCATACTTCCATCTACTCCTGCCCCCCCCAAGACAACACACCCATGTCTTTACCTGGATGGGAAAGTAGTCTCGAAAATAGCGCCACACAGCCCAGTTTCGCACCCACTGTGATCTCCTGCCACCTTCCAGGAAACAAAACACAGTATTGGGAAGGAGTAGTTAGTGTGAGGGACAATTGAACAATATAGGCGAGACACAGCCAGCGTGAACCCCCAGGGAGGTGTCTATCAGCCCACACCGCATTTCTGCACCTGACCAGTGTGCCCCCTCCCACATAATTTCCCCTGGCCATCCCTATGAAGACAGAGGGAGCTTTACATCACCCACCCCACACCATACACAGCCCAGCCCAGGTCTTTCACAAAGGAGGTGTTCCATAGAGGGGCAGCACCAGGAGGAGTTGCTGCCCAGCAGAGGGAGCTTCCTAGGGCATGGGGGAACACAGGTGGGGGGCCCATACCCTTACCTTTCTTGGGCGTGTTCCAGTCAAAAGCCAGCCAGGTGAAATAGAGCACAGCTATCAGCCAGCAGTCAGTGCAAAAGGTGTACATGAGGATGACACTACAGGCCACTCCTGCGGAGACAGAACAACAGGTCAGGCAGGCTCCCAGGCCCCTGGCTATGCCACAGCCTCCCTCCTGGAAAGGACGAAGCACTCCCCACAGCACTAACCTAGGCACAATGTCCCAAGTGGGTGGCTCAGGGAGGAGGAGCAGGGCCAATGGGCACAGGTGGGTCCTAGTGCTAGGGGCACCTGGGCTTGAGCTGGATGGGCAATATGGGGAGACTTCAGCTTCCTGTGCAGCCATTCTTAATGCCTCTTCTTACGTGACCCCTTTGAGTCATTAAAGCAAGGTGACTTTTCTATTTTAGATGAGAACTTGACAGGAGTGATGTGCCCAAGCTTACCCAGAAGGACAGAGGAGAGCTAAGGTTCTCAGGCTGTCCCAGCAGGGGTGGGGGTGGGATAAACCGTCACAGGAGGGCTGTCCCCAGGCAGCCCCAGGGCAGAGCCAGAGCCCACTAGCGGCCCCTCTCTTCAAACCCTTGGAAGGACTCTCTCAGAACACCTTCTATCTGTGGTCACTGTCCCTGGGGCCTGATGGCTGACCACAAGGCTGAATGGCCTGGACCCAGAGGGAAGGAGAGCCAGAATCATGTCCCACCCCTAGGTGCCCTCACCAGGGCTTCCCTTTCCAACTTTTAGCCAGTCTTTCATCCCTACTCAGATCTTTGTTCCCTCCACAGTGTTCCTCAGTATCAAACTACCCCACCACACAATCTGAATTCTCCACACTGCTACAGGCACATCGTTTCCCCCTGGCATTCAACACAACTGTGGAGGGGACAGAGACTCTGCTTCATAGGCCTTTCCATCCACAATGCTGCATCCACTGGAAAGAGTAAGTCTGCTCCAGTCCTAGCCTCCACAGGTGTCCAAGCAAGAGGAAGGACATCCCTGTACATACTACCTGTACATAATAGCCACAAGCAACTAACACTGCAGAGCTCTGGCTGGTGGTACAGGAAATGTGCGAGTGCTCTTCAGTAGGAGACACAGCAGGGCTGTGGAGAGCAGGGACAGGACCAAGCAGACTCGGTGAGTTGGCCCTGTTATGTACTAGCCACTACCCATACCCACACTTCTACTTTCTTACAGAGGGCTGGGAAGATAAAATGACATGGTGTTGGAATTTAACACATGATCTGGAACACAGTCAAGTGTCTATGGACTTGTATGGGGGAGCAAAGTGACATCTAAGTTTTCTATTAGATTCACATGGAAATTTGGCAGGAGTTTTAAGCAGAGCCTGCTGAACCAATACCAATAGATGGGAAGGCGTTTTCATACCGCATTATAGCAGTCACAGCAATCTCGAGGACACTTCATTATTTAAGAGTGTTACATCTGCTGCTACTTTCTAGCTAAACAACATGATAAAAAGGCACACATTACTAAGTGTCCCATTGGGTTTCAAAGGTTACATAATTATAGTCCAGCATTATTAGTTCCTTTAAAACCCAATGTACTTTATATGATACAATTAAAAGCATGAAGAAGGCCCACAGCTTTCACCAATTCTAGAGGACTACATGGCACATTAGAAAAACAAAAAACTGTTTAAGAGAAACATGGAGGGTATCCACAGCAGCCTTTGCAATACATGGCAAGCCTCTGCCACCAGGTTTGGGACACAGTGGAAGGGAGTGGCTGAGACTGCCATGTAGTAATTATCAGTAGCTTAAGCAGGGCTCATCACCTGTCCAGGTCTAGCTCCCACCTACACCAGTATGTTGGAAAGACATGCTGGTCCAGTTTCTGGGCTGTGGTTGGGCCTCACAGATCATTAACCTACAGCTTTGGCCCGGTCCCTATCACATGTTATATGGGATTGCACAATTTACTCAGTGCCCCACAGTCAAGCACTGACCCACTAAGGCAAGCAAGGTAAGTGCTAGCTTCTAGTGCAAATAGAGACAATAGGCAAAGCAGACTAGACAGAGGACTGAGAGCTGGGATCACTGCATTCTTGTCTTGGCCTCTCTTATTTTCGCTCAGAAACTAACCTGTACTGAGATATAAGGCCTGGGCATGAAGAGCCAGTCCCAGGACAGCTGTATCTGTCTGCCCTTCCCCTAGATTCCAGCTGGCAGCCAATGAAGCATCTAGCCAGGCCTGAAGAAACAGCATCCCAAAGCCATCACAGGCAACAAAAAGGCAGGGGAGCAGCTGGGGCATACATTCAGCAAAGGGGACACTCTTCATTAACAGCATTCCTGTGATGGGGACCACCACCAAAATCTGTATAGCGGCTTTCAATCCTTATCTTCAATCCCCATGTGAGGAGGCAAGCAGCAGCATCTTCACATGCCAGAGCTCAAGAAGCCTATGCAAAGTCAGAGCTTATTTGGAGTAGATCTCAAACCTGACAATGCATACTAAGACAATGCAACACACATGTTCTTTGCTAGTAGGCAAGGGGCAGTTAGAAGGGTATATAGGCTTTGGGCATCCTATAGACCCAAATTCAAGTAACTTTGGGCAAGTTCATCTGTAAAATGAAAGCCATACTAAATAATCCCTAATGGTAGAATACTTGACCATGGACCCCAAAGATGGGAGTAAATGGCAAGAGGATCACCTCTAGCCTAGCTGTGCTTACCTAGCACCAGGAAGGACAGGACCCACTGTAGTACTGAGATGACCTGTAGCTGCTTTTCCACCTTGGACCTGTTGAGCCAGGTGACAGAGAAGATGTCTTGGAGGGCTGACAGGATGCTGGAGCCAGTGCCTGCAGGAGAAGATGTCAGTCTATAAGGTATTATATATAAGCTTGCCCTCCAGCCTCAGACACCCTAGTACAACCCACCTCCCACGGATACCTTCCTAGACAGTGAATGTGGGCCACAGAATCACAAATAACTGAATCCTCACTCTGCCACCAAATGTCTTCCTAATGGCTGCTTTACAGCTTAAAAGACCATAACAACTGTGACTTCCCTGTATCATCATCATTTCTGCATGGTAGTGGGGAACCTAAGAGCTAGTCCTGGATTTGGGTCACAAGGAGGCCAGTTCTCTTCCATCCCCAATGTCCAAATGCATATCTTCCTTTATCTGAACTAGTACAAATATTTAATCTGTGCTATCTGTATCTATGAGGCCAAGGACAGAAGTTCAACATCCAATTTGCAATATTTTGTTTTGATTTTTGTCCAAGTGTACTTTGAACATCCCAGTCCCTGCCATTTTCCTTTTATCCTTGACACCTCTTTCCATGGAGCTAATTCCATCATTCCCACTTCAACATCCAGGCTTACACCATGACCAGCTGAAGAGAGATTTACATTCATCTTGATGCAGTCCCCAAAGCGTGGGGCTTAGGGAGGACCCAGGGTGACATCTTACTTCCCCTAAAGTGGGGGGGGGTTATGCACCCCAACACTGCAGATAGAACCCCAAGCTAGTGGTTAGAACAGTGTTTAAGGAAAGTTACACAGGATACAGGGAGGCACCTGATCTAGGGCTGTACCTATGTTTGCTTCTACGCAAGTGCCAAGACTGAGAATCAGGACAAAATGTGCTATTAGTTGACACTGCAGTTGTGTCCTCAGGCTGACCCCAGGACTCCATAGCTGACAGGCAGTGTGTCCATGAAGCCTGGTGGCTACAAGAGAAATGGCACTAGAAAAGAACACATCTGAGAGCCCAAGACCACTCATTTCAGCTCTAGACTAAAAGCAAGGCCACTTCACACCCCACTCTGCTGAGCCCAAGAGTGTCCCTTTGTTCAGCACATCTTCACTGAGGGCCTATTGTGTGCCACTCAAACATTCCTTCCTACCACCCACTGCTCGGGGCCCAGGACACGACTCACTCAGTCCTGTCCTTGAGGGTCTCCTGACCACTCACCTGGCTTACAAGCTGGGATAGGGGTATAGGGGGGTCACATTTGAGCCTTTGCTTTCTATGAAAATTGGTAGCAGTGAGGTCACAGCCTAGTTCAGAAAGGAATATACCTCCTCTCAGCTCAATTTTAGGCATGAGGAGGAAATGCCAGACTTGAAGGTGAACATACCAGTCCTTTCACCTCTCTGGTCTAATAAACCAGCAGGAGAGGGCCTGGACTGCAGAGGCAAACTCTCGGTTCCACTTACTATGTGACCCCAAGGAAGAGCGTACACAGGAATCAATCATCACACACTGAGCACTCAATAACACCCAATGCTCTACAGGAATGGTGGGACAAAGGCATGAAAACAAGGCTGGATCCCACAGCCATTCCACAGGGTTGGCACATTGCTCCTTCGCCCCTTCTGTAACTCTCCTACTATCTTAGGCCCTTTTTCCTCCACCAGACTTGCTCCTTAGATTTCATCTTGAACCCTAGAGGGATCTTGCATTATAGCATTAGCAAGGTTACCAGAATAAGAACCCAGGATTCCAGCCGGACGGTGGTGACACTCAGGAGGCAGATCTCTGTGAGTTAGAGGTCAGCCTGGTCTAAAAGTGACTTCCAGAACAGCCAAGGCTGTTACACAGAGAAACCCTGCCTCAAAAAAACAAAACAAAACAAACAAACAAAAAAACAGAAAGAAAATAGAACCCAGGATTCCTGCCTCTGCTCAGAGAACTTCCTTTTGACATAGCAGCCAATGAATGCAGAGGACTAACCATGGGGCACAGGGAGTTCAAGGGGTATATATGTCCACCAGCCTAGACAAATGGATTTGTCACCACTGAGCCTCTAAGATATAGCCTAGACTCTTTGGCTACATTACTGTAAGCAACAATGGCCACAAGGGTTAAGCATAGGTGTCCATTGAGCAGGCTACTATTGGCATATTGGCAGGAAGACAAAAGGTGCTGTGACACTGTCTTAGCTAAAGCATGGTCTGGGGAACACCCCATCATATTGCCTATGAGCAGTTACAAATGTCAGGGTCCACTGAGCCAATTCTGCAGTTGTCAATACTCCTAGGTGATAAATCTGAGAAACAACTAGAAGTATCTAAGTCTCACTTAGAATAAGGGAGCAGGGTAAAGCCTTTGTCTAGTCAGGAAATAACTGCAGATACTACCTGCCCCAGCACTACTGGACGCAGACCCTCAGGCTAGAGTTTGGACCAGTGTTTAAGGAAAGGCATCTAGGACACAGGAAGGCACCTGGAGCCTGCTGGGAAATGAGGTCCAAGCCTGAACCCCTTCATCCTACCCTCACAGGCCTTGCATTTCAGTCAGCACAGCCAACTATGGCTGGTGAAGTCTTTGGGGAGGCATGTCAAAACTCCCTACTGGTCATACACCCCACCCCTAACATTTTTTTTCTCTAAAATAACCCAAATCCCCCTAATCTTATTAACTTACTTAAAGGTAGATAGGGTTACAGAGTAACACCCCATTTTCTTCCAATCCTTAGCCCACTATTTAGACAAAACCAAGGGTCTGGGACATTCCCCATATCCATATTCATCCTGCCTCACTGGGCCAACCACCTAAGGCCTGCCCTGCCAGCCCAATGGGAATGCAGTCCAGGGAAGACCTCATTTCTGCAAGGAAGTGCAGATCCCTGGAAAGGCTGGGGAAAGGCTGCAATACCACATTCCTCAAGTCCACTCCCACATCAACGCCCAGCTGGCCTGTCCCAAGTCCACACTCCAGTGGAGCCCCAAGGGGCCTAGGAGACAGCAATTGCTCCTCAGAGGCCCTGCTTTGACAGTCCCCAGATGGAGAGGGCTACAGCAGAGATACAATCTTTTATCCCCTGGGGACCACCCAAGCCTGGAACCACCAGCCACTTTCTTGCTACCTCAGGGAGCTTTTCTATCTGACACCCCCCCCCATACAAACTACACAGTTAATATTGATTGTCACATGAGACCAGATGTGCCTGAAGGCAGGTCAGTTCTGACCCACATCTGGGTCCCTAGGGCCTGGCTTGTATTAGAGAAAGCAAGACTCAAGCAAGACTTGCTGAGAAAGGAAGATGAAGTCCATACTCTACCCATTCAAGCCCATTGGGTTCCTTCCATGTGGGGCAGAGGAGCCCCTGAATGAGGCCCAAGGAGCCCCTGAATGTTTGACCCTCCATACCACTGGCCCAGGCTCAGATTTTGTGGGTGTCTATCAATCCCATTCTGATGTTGCTCCAAGGCTTCTCTCTCAATCAGTGTGAAAGTGCTTGCCTCAAATCTAGGCTGCTGATCTCAAGTCCCTTCTCCCTTCTCTCTGCTGTCATTCAGAGGGTAGACCAAAATAGCCTCATTTTCTTTTTGATTGTGTTTTATTTCTTATTGATTAGCTTTGGAGTTGTTGAGTCTCATATAGCCCAGGATGGCCTCAAACTTGCAATTCTCCTGCTGCAGCCTCTTGAGTGCTGAATAACAGGCCATGGCTGCCAGAGCAAGAGCAGGCTTAAAGAGCAGGTAGAGGCAGCAGACCTTCAGGTTCTAGTCCCAGCTGTGCCACCAATTCCTGTGTCAAACTTGGCCAAGTGACTTTACTCCTCTGGGGCTCAGTTTCCCTATCTTTAAAATGGAATGAGTTAGATCAAGTTCGTGGTCACTAATGTCTACCTCCTGGCCAGAATCTGGGCCCTAAAGTTCAGCAGCTTGCAGCAGCCCTGGGGCAGTCACCTGGGGAAGCAGGAAGTGAGGGTTCCCTTGCATAAATCCCCAGGGCATAATCAGCCTTTGCTACCTGGTTGTCAACACTTGCTCTACTCCAGCTTGGTTGGCAGAAGTCCAGCTGGTGCAGAAGCTACAATCAAATGCCACCGCCTCCATTTCCAGCCTGTTTTGACTCCTGGGAGGGTGGCAGAGTCTTAGCATCCAGCCAAGTGCAGCTTCCTCATCCCTCAAGCGTCCCTGGGCTCACCCACTCTCCTCTCTCTCATACAGCACCAGTCCCACTGAATCCCATGTATAGTCAGTTACTTGGCAACCCACTCTGACAGTGAATTGTGAGTACCAAGACTAGACCTGATTCATCTCTGTGTGTAGAACCTCACACAGGGTTGGGGGGGGGGGGCTATAGAGGTTTGCTGCATGGCTGGACAAAACCCACAATGCCAGCCCCAGAGAAGGCTAGATGCCCAAGTTGCAGTGGGCTGCTTTCAGCCAGGCCAGCCCTGCTATGAAAATACTGTAGTCTCTCCTGCCTTCTATAAGCATAAGTTCCCTGACATATGAAGGGAACAGAACAGGTTGTTTTTCACTTGCAGACATCATTTTTCACAGAGATAAGGCATAGCATAGAACAAATAGACTAGTCCTATGAAGCAAAGACTCCCCAGGAGGCTGATCTGGGCACTGATCCTTGCACACAGCTCATTTTTTACTGCATGTCTGGAGGACAGGTGGAAGGGAATGCCAAAGAGGCCCAGGACAGATTTCTTACTATTCTATGTCATGCCACTGTCTCACAGCACTCCTTAGGAGTACAGACAAGGCATGGAGGAAACTAAACCATGATGAAACCTCACTGGTTACTCAAGGCAGGGATTTGGACTCCAAGTCCCTTCACCACATGAACAATGCCATGTTACAGAGGGCTGGTCCCCAACTAAACTTGGTAGTAGTCTACACCCAAACTCCAGATAACACCTGGATGAGAAGGGCTGCCTGCTCTGTCTACACCAAGTCCCATTGTCACATGATAGTTCTGCACAGACTGGCTGTGCAAGAGTGAACCCCACCCAAATGCTCCTATAGTCAAGCTTCTGCTGTGAGGTCATAAGAGCTGCTGATCACAATGGACCCAACAGCTACCATCTCAGGGCCCAAGAATGGG